TTTTATAGATATAACATCACCGTAGAGACAGATAGCATTCGCGTATACAGGACTTGGACAACATTCGAGTTGGATGTGATGGGGAAGGTACAGTAGGGGCGTGACATTGAGACGTGTTTCAGTAGCATGTAAGTCTCAGAGCAAAGATCGAATTAAACTTTCTCTAAGATAAATATGCCTTAGTAGGGCAAAAATAGGGGTTTGTGACCACACATTTTGTCCTATGCAACAACTTTCCGGTGCTATTTGAAGGATATGCGAGGTAGGGATGGCAGTTTTTATATGCATTTTGAAGGGTACAATAGGGCCATGCGATGAAGTCAAACTACTGTTTTTTATAAATGCATGTAGAAATATGTAAAATTTCTCTTTGAAACAGATGCTACGTCGGCGGAAACAAGGTACGAATTAGAAAATTTGTAAAACTCAAGCTGGTAGGATCAAGTGCCATTGTTATGGAGAGGCTTGCACTGCTCCAAATTGGACTTAATGTTCACTTAGAATTACAGATATATCATACACACAAGATAATTTTGGAACTACACAACCAAAAGACTACACCATTATTCTGCTGAGCATCAAGGGGATATTTTTACAAAAATGGTTTTGCTTATTTGCGTTAAAGGTAGTGAAACTACATTCGCTATTTTAGAGGGTTCCACAAAAAAGGTTGACAAAGGAACATTTGGTAACAATCCAAAAATTTTGGAGGAACTTGCAATAGCCTAAATATAATTCACTATGTGATTTTTCAAATGAGTAAAATTAAGTACTGTATATAGAAGTTTTTAACATATCCTTTTGACTACGCACTTAACCTGAAATTTAGATTTTAGAAAATCATTAATTTTCACGATGACGTCATTGCTGGTATATTTCAGTGTTTAACTCCATCGATATTCGTCAAATGATAATAAAACTTTCATATAGCGCAATGTCTCGAGGACCTCTTTGGCTTGATCAATGGTCAAATTTTTTCTGTACATAAATTGAGCTTTGAAAATCTTTGAGTCCAAATTTATCCTCTTAATCGTACTTTGCACCGCTGTAATTTGGCATCCTTTACCATAATTGTAATTTTTTTGTCCCGAAATTGGGAGTGTATTTAGAGCGAATGATCATTGCTCTATGATGCTGATAATTTACTCTTCCGTAAGCGAAACTTTATGGCAATTTCATCGGTATATATTTTTAACCTTGTATTTTCCATAAGAAGTGAGAGGGATAAAATATCTCAAGAATGAGCGATCAACAGAATATGCAATAAGTAAAGTTGAATGTTAGTTATAATCAATTAAGAAATTTTCCATTAATTAAGAATATTATAGAATGATACACATAAGTAAGAAAAGTGATGAGTGATGAGTGCATGAAAAACCTTGTTTTTTTCTTCCCAAAAATGTCACCAGCATCGAAAATTCAATTCTCATTTTTACCTGAATGCTCTTTTCTTGTTAAAAACATTCCCTTGCATATATTTGTCCTAAAAGATATGAAATGAAAGAACTTTAGAGAGTTACTGCTTTTCTTTTGAAAATCGATTGAAAGTAGAAACGGTCACTGTCAACAGTAGAAATATAGCAGATCTTAAACATTCTTTTGTGCTCTTCAATCTCTCCCATTGCAATGCATTATCATGCTCTTTGCACTATCCTCTTTTACAGGGCCGTAAATCTGTCATGTGAATTGGGGGGGTCAGCAGAGCAAATGAATATAAAGTATGCAGTGGGTCATGGCACCACAAGGGATTTATGGTATGTGTTATGGAAACAGTTGAGGGACAAATTACTTTAAAAACAAAAGTCAATATTTTTGGACTTCTCAAGAATTTCTGCTCTTTAGAAGGTATTTACAGATATTCCTTAGTACATTGACTTGTGTGTATGATTGGATGGATAACATTTTTCAGAGACGGCCCCAAGAAATTGAACCTTGGGAGCTAAGAATCAAGTTTACTCTCGTAGGAGGACCCACCATGGTTGGGTCCGACGCGGAAGAAAATTTTTGAAATTTTACCTTCTAGAAAGGCTAAAAAAGCATCCCCCAGACTAAATTTAATAAAATACTAGAATCGCTCAGGATAGAAGTTTGGCGTTTCTCAGAAGAAAACAGATTATTGTTTATTGGGTGAAATTTTGGAGGGGAATAGTCATGCTTAAACCTTAGAGACAGACTTTGGGGAAATATGGGACACTGTTGTATTGATTGGTAGAAATTTACTTTCTGAACAGAAATGTGCGTCTTCCTTATTTTGACTGATTTCAGTAGGCCATGTTTACACATCAAAAATGAATACATTTTAATGATACAAAAAGTGATTTACTAAATAAAAGTAAATAATAGACAAATAATAGAAATGTACGTAAAGAAGTTAGTAAATAGGTCAAATAAAATGACAGATTGCTCTCTTTTTATTTCATACTCTGTTTTCAAAAATAAAACGGTAGAAAATAGTAGAAAACGGTAAAAAACGGTAGAAAACGGTAAGTTTTTATATTTTAAAAATTATTAGACTACGCCTCTAAGTCTAACAGTTTGTGAGTCAACGAATAACTTCATAGGCAATCAGTCTCAAATGTTTAATATAAAGAATGTAGAAAAGCTAATAATAACAATGAAAACAAAGCACTCACGACCTTTAGCTTGCTTGCTTTAGTATTGGCGACTTGTGGCGTCTCTGAATTAAATACTTCGAATGGCAACAGCGACGTCTTTCAAGCGACACACGCTTCGACTTTCATCGGGAAACGGCGGCCACGATTCTTTTGGCAAGGCGGGAACGCCCACAGTAAAAAGCCTCCTACTCTAAAACAGGCAAGCTCCTTTATACCCTTTCTAAAATACAGCTAGCCAATAACAAAACAGAACATGATAACAGCCAATTAGATACTAGAACAGAACAATAGTTAAAAACATAAAAGTTAATAAAAGGATGTTCACGCTGATACCCACGTGGACCAGCACGTGATAGAAGTTCGATCGATCTTTAAGCCCCGTTCAAACGCTCTCGACTTTTCACTCGACTACTCTAGATTTTTGTCGAGAGTAAAAGTCGAGAGCGTTTGAACACCTTGTTGAGAGCAGTCGAGCAAAGTCGAGAGCAGTCGAGAGCAGTCGAGCGAAGTTTGAACACGTTTAAAAAAGTCGAGCGGAGTCACACAACATTCCTATTGTTCAAGGTGTTGTTCAGCGTTGTCGAGAGCGTTTGAACACCTTGCTCAACAAAGTCGAGCGTGCGCATGCGTTCTTCTGATTTTCTGATTTTGCCCGCCAAAACACAAAACAGCGAAGTTCGTATTGTTGCAATCGAAATGGAGGACGAATCATTCACAGTTTGCAGCATTCTTTTTCTGCCTTCTCAAGAATTCGGTTTAGGAGAAAGTGACAGTAAAAATGGCGATGACAGGCTGGAGGATCTTGACGAGAGCGCAAAAACTGTCCTCCTCCAGCTGTTGTACAAATCAAAAAGAAAAACGAAAGCCTCTTGCGAAATCCGGAAGAAATCACCAAAGACTGAGTCGAAAGGGAAAAATGAACTCACGAAGAAATAGACTCAACGAAGCGCCAAGTTGTCAGTATGCTTTCACAGCATCTTGCCACTTCGCAGGAGGGATTTTATAATCAAACAGAAATCGAGTGAAAAGTCGAGAGCGTTTGAACACCCCCCGCTCGACTACACTCAACACTGCTCGACAACGCTCAACAAAAATCGAGAGTAGTCGAGTGAAAGTCGAGAGCGTTTGAACAAGGCTTAACAAAATTATAAAAACCACTCTGCTTACAAAAATAACCTTAGTGGCTGAGGTTTGTTGCAATAACACTGAAAACGTAGTTTGGTTCTAACCCGGCTACCAGGGATTTCTTTCTTCCAAGAAAATTGATGGCAATTTCTCCAAAAAAACAGTTTTGCTCCAGATTTTTGGGGGGGTCCAGTCCCCCCGCCCCCCCGGGATTTACGGCCCTGCTCTTTTAGCATCGTTTGTTCGTTAGTAAAGTGTAAATTTTTAGTTGAATTCCTACAAAAAAAACAATAAATGTATAAAAAGCTTAAGTTTTGTTCCATTTTTTGCCATCCACATAATAGTTTTTTTAAATAAGTAAAATATAACCTACTTAAAGTCCTCCACTGTTTTTCATGAAAATAGTCCTCTTTAAAGCTCCTGATGTCCTCTCATTTGCAAAATTTGATCCATAAAGACGATCATTACATCATCACATTGTACTTGGATCCAGTGATGCAGTGCTATCAAATAACAAGGGGGGCTCTTGCACAAAATGTCGCGAGAAACAACAGCAAAGGTAGAAATTTACCAATTCTCGGCATTAACAAGGGGCTCAGTCTCCCTGATTTTGCAGTCCCCCTAGCACTAGACCCCTCCATGCATCCCCGCACGTAGAAGCTTATATTTTACTCGAGACTTTAAATGACTGCAAAATTGTAGATGCATGGGACTTTGATGAGGGTCTCTCAGGGAGGTAGGGGGTAAGGGGGGGGGTACTTGTTCCCGTGTTTCCTTTGAGAAAAACAACCAATGTTCCCGTGTCCCCTTTGAAAAATAAAAAACAAATATTCCCTTCATTCCTTAAACTAGTAATAACGTTCCCATGTTCTTAGAGGAAAATTTAAGTTGTTCCCGTGCTCCTGTACCATTTTTTGTCATCTTTCTTTGTTCCTGAAAACCCCAGAGAGACCCTCTATGACAGATCCAAAACTGCTCCTGAATCGTCTTTGTCCTTTATTAAAATCGAAAAAGCCCGTATGTGCTAAGAAACTTCTTAGCGTGTGGTAAGTAAAAAGAAAATTGTAGTTGAAAAATTTCAATTTTCTTACAATAAAAATCAAGTCCATATACGTATCCAGCATTTTTTAATTACTTTACCTTAGACAGTTGCAGTTTTTTGTCAGATGACGATAAGACGTCTGTTTAATCACTGATGTTTAAATCAATGAGCCCTTTCGATCTGAATCTGCCTCTTTTCCGCGAGAAGGTCGCGCGAAAAATCAATATGACACAACAACACGACACAGCGGAAGAATAGAGGAAATGCGGAACGTGGTTCGAAAAGAGGAGGTGTGGATAGGCAATTTTCGCTGCTTTTAAATTTCTGCTGGCGTGTGGCTTGAAGAATTGTTTTGCATCATGGTAAGCCTAATTTTCTGCAGTTTTAAAGCACCCACTTATTGAACATTTCTAAAATGCCAGTTGCTGTTAAGAAATTGAAGAAGCATTAAATTTTCTCTCGAGCATGAAAAGTTCCCTGTCAACATGTATTGAATAAACATAATACTCTGGGTATTCAAGATATTCAGGAACAAAGCAATACGACGACGAGAATCATTGCTTTGCAATTTTAAATCTCATGACACTGTCGAAACAGCGGGGGACAATAGGGACACACGAGGCCTTGAATTTTAAAAAATGCTACTTATCTAGGAAGCACATTTGAGTAAAATTGAAAAAGTGCACACTTTCCTGTGCTCTTACAACTTTGAAATGCTCCCGACGTCCCCGGCTTTGGGGGTTTGTCGCCTCCTTTCGATAATATAATTTTGTTTAAGAAACAAGAAGATTCTTGCCATTAAAAGTGCTCTAGGGCAATGAAAGGATGGCGGTCATCCACCTAGAGCACAGTAGCTAGCGTTAGCCCTGACCTCATTACACTATGATACTCATGCTAATCATTAGAATAACATGAAATACATTTTTCATTCTTGCAACAAAGGATGGCGAAAATTCAGCCAGACCAAATGACAAGTTTGAGCTGGAGGTCTTGAATAAGGTAATGTATGAAGTCTTTAATTAATTACTAAATCTTACTAACTGAGTCAAGTAATTTTCACAAGCTATATTGCATATAGATATTTTGAAAGAAGAGGACCATGCTTGCAGTTCCCCTGGACCTCTTGTCTTTCACTTGACCAAAAATTTCAATCAAGTCATGTAATATTAATCTATAGAAACGTATAAATGGGCATCATTGTGTGCAACATAAATGCTTCTGCTCTCAGATTTCAGCTGATAATGTACCGTTGGCTGCAACAACATGTCTGTAAAAATCATATGTTACCAAACCTGGCCTATGGTAGTCAATCCTTTTAAGTGTTAGCATTTAGGGGCCTATCTTCCATATGAGGGGTTCAGGGGACCAAAGTTGTAACAATTTATTAGAAAAACAGAAATGCAAGATTGATATACCAGGAACACACAGCATGTTTATCATATCAGCACAATTTAAAGTGGGATTTCCATTTCTATGACACAGTAGGAAAAAATCAATGATCAAGGCCTTACCCTGGATAAAGTGCTAAGAACTATTCCATTTAAACATCTAGAACCATCACCCCTCATCTGATGATATTTGCTAATTTTTTGTGGGGTCAAAGACTGATTGCATCTTTCAAACCATTATTTGTTACAATAGTATCTCTTCCTTTTTGACAAAATTCATAGCTCCCACAATGTTTTCGTCTTGAGAAAGAGACATTGTTAAACAATGGGTCAAAAATTCAAGTATATGGCATTGTTAGTAAATTTGTTTTGCTACATCCTTCATACTCAAAGTTAAAGATACTTTGGCATGCCACTGCACCTAAGCCCTTCTTGTTAAAAAATTCTTGCAAGGGTGATAAACCTGTGCTTATAATTATCCAATGTAGAAGGTCAACTTTGCAAATGTTGTCAAATGTGTGCCAGGAATCATTACTTTGCTAGGACCTGTCTCGCACATTCTATATCAAGATACAGCCTTTTACAGTTGGGTCCTGCTAAATAGATCAAATTTTGAAAGGGTCCCACATGCAGCACCATCTCAGATTTTCATGAAAATTTTTGAAAATATACATAGACATAAGTAGGAACATCTCAAAAAATCCAACTTAATATCTTGTGGCATCCCAAAGATATGAATCTGACTTATATCCTAATCTACCAAACTGTGTCTTAGGTTTTTCAAATTCCTTTTGAAACTTTACCTGACCAAAAGTCGACACACAGTTTTTCCACGCGTTCACAGTTGTGTTTGACAGACCAGAGCAAATAGAAAATTTTGAGATACCCTTTTCTTGCCCAATGTCTTTGGGTTCAGATTAGCATTTTTCGAATCTGTATGTAGATCAACCACTCTCGAGAACACAGGATTTTACACTCATAAACCACAATGTAATCTGGGTCAAGTCAATTGAAGATCAAGAAGCTTGGTTAAATAAACACAGCCCTACTTGGGATATATGAACGTGTCATGCGTATGTAACTGGTTACTGTAAATGAGACATGGGTCCATAACCGCAAAGCAACGTCAAGCGATTTTCAGATCTCTACCAAAAACGTTTATATGGAATCCTTCGTTTACATGGAATTGTTTCCATTTTAAAACATCTGTTAGTTGCAAACATGATATCATTGTGTGCTTTGAAACTTCAACTACTAGAATAAGAAGAAATCGAAAAATGAATGTTCACATGCAAAAAACGTTTACCGTAACTTGAACGACAAACTAAAACTTCTACTTTGAAGGAGAATTCGGGTTGTTTTTTCAAATTGACTCAATGCAATAAGAAAAACAAGTAAACCGGTGTTAGAAAAAATAGATATAATTTTGAACAGCTTTGATAGGCACGCCGAACAGTGCGCTAGAAATGTGGGCCTAAACACTAGGGAGAAAAATATTTAAGTATTCCGGTGAGAAAGTGATTGTATGGATTAACTGCAATAAAAAACATGCTAGAAGTTGAATGGCCTCTCTATTTTTCAGGAAAAATGAATATAAATCTTTAGAGTAGCTCAGAGATTATTCAAATCAACTTCCATACTCCTTTTATCAATACAATTGTGCTGAATCGCCCTCCCTGTCAAAATGATTTTCTTTGTTGTTTTAGGGTACAAGAAAGACAATTTTTAACCGGAAAACTCTTATAATTGTAGGTATATCTCATTTCTAAATTGGAAATCTTTAAAAAGCAAACGTTCGAAAAATGCTTTAAATTTTTTCGTCTCACGCACCTCTGAGAATACAATGTCAAAATAAGGGTCCGAAAGAACACGATGGAAAATATATACACAGATGTGGATACAAGTTTTATACTCTGAGTAGTGTCAGAAGAAAAAGCTTTAAGGCCGATTTCCATTTGACATCTTTTGTGCGCGCAGGCGTAGCGCCCAAATATGAGCATGCGTAGTTAAAATCAAGTGGTATCGATTTTGCGTCCGCTGTGAGGGTCAGAAAGTTGATAGGGTCTCAACTTCTTGTGCGCTCGGCCACTTGACAGCAGCACTTAGCTACGCATGCTCAGATTTGGGCGCTACGCCCGCGCGCATAAAAAATGTCAAATGGAAATCGGCCTTTAAGTAGTATCTCGTGAAATGTTTTCTTTTTTAAAAGCGATTTTTCAAATAAAATGTTATTGTTTTATTAGATACATGTGGCTATAAAAAGGCAATGTTCCCTCGAATCAAAATGGAGATTATTACTTTTTGTGCTCCTAGTAAAATTCTTCTAACCAGTGAGACTCTTAAAAGGTATTTTGTTAGGTTGAATGAATTTTTTAGCATCCAAAAGTTCTACCAAAATTCCATTGTAATGAAAGTTAGCATTGCTTTAATTTCCCAAGCAGTGTCTGTAGCTAAAAAGAATACTTTATTCCTGTCTAATTGGCTGCTCATCTTTTTTAGATTTTTTTATCTGCCTGGTAGCCTTGGTAAGCATAATTATTGGAGTCACGGTCGCAGTCAAAGAAGCAGGTATGATTTCATTATGAGCAATTTTTTTGTTTTGCAAGGGCAAGTATGTTTCCGATTTCATTTTTCAGAAATAATTCAATTTTTAAGAATGGTAGCACATGTGACTAACTCATTATTTTGTAGGAGCTGCTAAACTTGGCGCCAAAAGTGGATGCAGTAGGTGAGTTGATTATGAATTCTGACTTTTCCACGTTGAGAATGTTTTTAAGTATCAGGCAAACTTTAGAAACAATAAACATCAGAAACAATTTTCTCTTGTCACTGCCCTTTATGCCTGAGTATGTCCTTTTCGTCAGCCAACTGCCGGAGAAGGCACCGCGGAGAAGGGGAGGGGGTTTGGGGCCCACTTTTTGCCAAAAATACAATAATTTTACCAATGAATCACAAGTCAAACCACATTTTATTCGGTTTTGCCCCCCCCCCCCACTTTTTTGACCCTCCACTTTTTTCAACGCACCGTGGTGCCTGGTTATGTTCGATTGGCTCTTTACGTTACAAAAATCAATATGAACTTCATATAGCATCTTCGCCTAAACCAAGATTTGCACTAGGCAAATAAACATGCTTGTTGTATCAATTTTCACGGGCAAATTGTCAGTTAACTTTCACCTTTCAATTCCAAAGTATTCAACCCCATGAAGACTAGTGCCTTTAATGGAGGACTTTTATGGAGAACTGAGATGTAGCTGCCTACGAGACACAATAACATGAAGCTCTGAGGCTTAAACGCTTGCAGGGACGTCGAGAGGGGAGTTAAGAGGAGCAAAAGGCACGGGGCTCGTGCTCCGATGGGGCCCGTAATAAAGTAACAAGATCTATTTACAATGCAAAAGAAGCTATTATTTTAGCTACTTATACGGAATCAACGCCTGTACGTTTATCGCAGAGAAATTTCAACATGTCCTTGATTCATGCATAATGTTTTTGCACATTTTTGTAAAAATCCTTAAAAAACTTTTTCAACAATTGTACCCAAAAAGGGCGTTTCCCTTTTTCTCCGGGACACTGAAGGACATGGCCACAGGACATTTTCGTAACGGGGTCCGGTTTGTAAATCCCGGGCATGAGCTGCCTCTCGACGGCCCTGAGCGCTGATAACATAGTTTAAGATGACATCTAATATTTCACAATGAACATCGATTTAGGAGACACAAGGACTATGCCAATGACCATACACTCCAGGTCTAGGTAGTTTGATTCTTAAGCTTTAGAAAGACCATCAACATTGTGCTTAACTGTGCACGATATTTTTTTTAATTTATGTTAAGTAATTGAATTTTTTCTTTATTTTCTAACTTATACTGGCAGTGGCTACCCCATTAGTCTGTATAAACATCAACATTATTATTGGCAGGGCCTTTTGATTTCTTTAGGGCACTGTTTCTTGAAAAGACAACTGTAAATTTATTCATATCGTAGCTTAGCTGTTTATGAATGTAATTGTAAGAAAGAAAACGAAAATGAATGAATGTATAAGATGTAAGAAAATGAATTTAATAAAAGCGTATGTATTGACTTGATTTGAATGTATCCCATTTTTTATCCCAGTATGTATCATCCTAGTTTTAGTCGGCCTGCACTTATCCTTGTCTACTTGGATGGTTTTCGTGCTGATTATCTAGATGGAGGCTATTCACCGACGATAAACAGTTTAGGTATGTTTTGAATGATCTACATTATTAATGTTATACATCTTCATTTCTAAACGTAAAATGCTATTTTTCATTTCTAAACGTGAAATTCTATTCAAGAACTTGTAATGATCCTGGTTTTGTCATGAGAGCGTACTGTACTATGGCTTCATAAGTACGCAAAGGCCTTCGACTTAGCATCCAACCCTGATGCCACACAAATTTGAGTTCTTGTCACAAAGATTTGTAAAACATTTCCACTATTTTAATTTGCAAGGGTAGGGGTCCTCTAGAGGTATGGGTCTAGGGAAACGGAGGTATAAAAGCTATTCGCAAGTGTATAAATATTGTAACTTTTTTATTGGTGCTTTTGCTATTCAACTGAGGATTTAAGATAAGGCAAGTGAATCCTTATGTAGTCCATATTCTTAGAAGATGGTGCGTTTGCTATGCATAGAAAGGACATTGAAAATAAACCAAATCGCCGTGCCTACGCACCTTCTTTTTATTATTATTTAGACTTTAGAGAATTGTTTCCAAGTTGTTCGATTCGTAAGATAGAGGATGGATGAAACTTTTCTGGACTCTACGCATCAGTTTCTTTATTTCTTTCAATTAAATTACCTCCGTACGAAGTCTGGCAAGTCTAAGACTTGAGACTATCTTCTTAGAAGATACCTTTTTTCTACAAAGCGAAAAGTGGCATTCGTGCAAAGAGAATGAGAAGCCAGTTCCCTACCAAGTCGTATCCAAATCTTCGCAGTATAGTTACTGTAAGTGGATTCTCTTTCTGTTTAATTGCGAAATATAATCTTAGATCGGGTTTACCCGGTCAGACTTAACGAATTCAATTATGATTTATTCACATTCATTCATTCATTTATTTTAACGAATTTAACATTCATGTATTTTACTTACTTTCAAGGAATTTAAAAAGTGTCATGGTAAATTTGTTGCACTCGATTTCAAAAAAGTCAAAACATTCAACTTCGTTTGATTTGTCAAAAAAAGGAGTGACATTTTCCCTTTTTCGCCTTGCCATGTTTTGCAAACTACGCAATAGAAAAGAGCCGGATTCAGGAGGCTTCGGGGCGTACACCCTTATAAATTTTACCGAGCAGTGTTTGTTTTTCATTGTACACACACCTCCCCTCCCCACTATGCTGAACCCCTTGCTCCGCTCGCTTTCAGATCAAATAAATCTGAAGCAAAGTTTTCTAAAGATAAGTTTGATAAAAGGTTTGACCATTACAGAAAATATATTTGTTGGTGTAAGTGTTGTCAAGTGAAAATGCTCAAAGGTGCTTTCATCCAAAAGAAACAAAGCATAAGCAGTTAAAACAGCCATGTTGCTTATGATCCTATGATGGACGAAGAATGCCCTGGATCAAGTGTGCCTAGTATTTTACGGCTTGAAGGACCTTTGACTGTGATCTCCTTAGAATTTGAAATATATGAAACAGAATTTGATTCTTACGAGTAAGGAAATCAAACGCGAGCAAACGTGAACACGCGGATCAATGGGAAGTTCTTTCACATGGTCACACATATACAGCAAAATGTGCTTCAGACCGCGTTAAAGCATTTTAGAAATCAAAGACAGAAACATGTATTTTAAATGAGGGGGAATTTTGTATAGTAAGCCAGTAAGCCTTCTTAATATCTAAGTGAACCAGCAATTTTATAGAGATCAAATGGAGAACAACCGCAATTCTTCCCATAAGATCACGAACAGTTACCTTTTTATTCAGTTACTAACATTCTTAAGGCAACATCAAATTTCATTCAGGTTTCAGAACCGTTAACCTATCGCGTTCTCTACTCCATTGTTATGAAAAATGTGCGAATGACTTCCCAAACTGACCCTTTTACTTGGATATGCACGGCCGGCGAAACTGGGGGGGGGGGAATGGCCATGGCCCCCCACTTTTCTGCAGAGCTGAACAATTTTCTTTTCAAAATGGAAAGAAATTAATTCTACCATTCTGTTAGTAACTGTGCCAACCATTCTGTAAGACATTGAAAATATTGGGATTTTGATCGAAAAAAATTCAGTCAGTGTCCATGTTGAACAACGAGTAACAGCTAAATAGTTTTGGATATTTGTAACGGAAAATTTCTCGTTACAAAAAGAGAGAAGTTTACTGTTGAAGAAAAATAAATTGCTGGAAAGGAAAGTTTTGAGGATCAGAGAAATTAAGAAACGGCAGTTTGTTCTTTTACAGTGTTATCAAGAATGCTTCAAAGTTTGATTGTATCGATTATCCATTCCTACTGAAAAGGAGAAATCTAGACGTTATTATAAATTTTATTAAAGCTCGTTTTGACCAGCACAGTCTGAAAGTTTTTCAGATCCAGAGTCTTCTTTGCTAAAAGCACTTTATTCCCGAAAAATTGAAGATCGTTTATTTTTCACAATTGCTTAGTCGTTTATTTCTAGTTGATAGTTCTTCGATTGATATTTTGATGTTAGTGAGGAAACACTGAAAGCGAGGCTACATTGTTAGTAGGTGTGGCAAAAACGGAACTTTTCATCTAAACTTTAGAGAACATTCTTATCTGGAAACTCTTGCGGAACGGTCGTCTCTTAAAACTCTTGCGGAACGTCGCATATTGACACTCTTACGAAAGAGGCTTAACTCTATAATTTGATAAAACTATAATGTGAAATATATCGATCGATGTCAAGCAGAGTAGATTCTCTTCAGTGGTGGATTTGAGGGGGGGGGTAACTAGGGGCAGTTGCCCCTCCCTCAACGAGTTGAAGCAAGTCTGGCGCCCCTTTTTGGAAATTGTGCGCCCCCTTTGAAGAGTGAGAATCAGATGAAAAAGGTTCTTGGACCGATAGGTTAATTTGCTTCAAGGATTACCTCAAAGTTATGTTGTTTATTATGAAAAGGTATCTGAAATTGTTGTATACAGCGTACTCTCGTAACCAATTTTTGAAAATTTTTCAGCGCCCCCACTACCAACTGCCCCTCCTTCAAATTTGCTCTGGATCCGCTCCTGATTCTCTTTCAACTGCTTTCCTGCTGTATGATGTTATATGATGTTAAGATAATTTCTAAAAACAACCAGGTGATTCCTTTCCTTTTTTCTCTCGCTCGTCAAAGTATTCATCTATTTATATCACATTTATATCGAATGTATACAGTCCTCTAGAACTTAGCTCTTTGTGAGCCACTCTGTCGTACAGTCAAAGTTGATTTTAGGTACAGTTTCTGCTGGCTATCCCTGAGGGCCCCAAAGATTCCATATTTCTAAAAATTTTCTTGGCTCCAACTTTCAAAGCTTTGATATTTTGGCCCCTCCTCTTTTAAGTACGTTCCGCCTGCCCTGGTATATCTGGTAGATTACCTATGAAAAAGCTCCTAATCGCGAAAGCGTCCTTTTTTTGCCAATAAACCACATTGTAGAGTCTTTACTCCCCCAGACTCCCAGGCCCGAGCAGAGCAGTGGCGTAACGGAGTAGTTCGGGGCCCTTGCACAATCATATTTTTCCAAAATCCGGGCAAAAATAGAAACAGCAAGTAAAATACACGATGCGATGAAAAGATTGAAGGATCGACGAGGAAAAAAACAATTTCAGATAGTAAAATGATACGATAGATGTTGACAATCTGGTAACTGCTCGAAATCAATGGACATGATTATCTACTGACTACCGGCCTTCATAACGTGGACGACGCCACAAGATTCAAAATGGAGGGGTCAAAAGTATTTAATTAACAGAACTGTAATATAGTGCCTTAAAATCTTTGATGAATGGGAGCCAAATAAAAAGAAGAGATGCCGGAGGTATGTGAGGGCGAAAAGGGTGACTTTTGCGGATGGAAAAGGAAAGAGGGTCCGGGGTATCCCCCTCGGGAATTTTTATGCCACCACATCCCCCCGATTGGCTCAAAAAAAATCAAATCATATTTACATAACTTAACATTTCATAGCACCTTTCTCTGCTTTGAACCCTCTTATTTTACAAATACTATTCAGGTGGAATGTCTAGTCAAGGCCCAATATTCGAAGTGAGAAAGAAAAAGGGAAAGGAATAAGTTGCTTTATGCGATAATGGTAAATATCTGGACCTTCAATGTTCTTACAGCCGGTAACAACATTACAATATCTGGACCTTCAATGTTGTTACCACCGGTAACTGATTAATGGAGTTATGTGCTCAGTGAGGCTAATAGTGGTCAGTTCCAGCAGAAAAATAATTCAGGTTGTGAAAAATCGTCAACAAAAAAAATGCAATGAAATGTATTAAATGATAGACCCAGTTCCAGGGGAGGGGCACGCCCCCCCCCCAGAAATTTTCGTTGCCCCTTGTTTGCCCCTCAGTTTTTTCAAAAGTTTTTATTGAAAATTCAATTTTTTTTCGAAAGCTGCTCAATCCTTTTTTTACTTTGTTGGGGTTGCTCTTTTTATTTTGCTCAATGCGATCTTTTTAACAAACTAAAGACCTCGATGAGCGTTTTGGTTTGTAACCGAGGTGAACATTAATGACATTTTGGCCCCTTTTTGTAGTTACCAAGAAAAATTCAAATTCACTGGATAGACTGACAAACAAGCATAAACTGTATGAATCCTGATAGGGCATGGGCATGCAGAAATCTTTCTATACCAAGTTCGACCCTCCTTCCTGTATTTACACAGTTCTCGTATCCTTCTTATCCAGACAGATACAATTCTATTTTCAATCCAAATCAGAGATCAAAATCTTTTCAGAAATTGAATTTCCTGCAGCTTGATTTGTGATACCTTCAGTGATTTTATTTGTTGAATGAAAAAATCTATTTTCCTTGTATTGGAATGAGCTGCTTGATGTTTATTTTCTGCTCTAGCAATAAATTTCTTTTTGAAGACATTTATTCTGAATTACATATTAAAGGTTCAGGGCCGGCGAGACGTATTTGAAAGTGGAGGGCCAAAATATCAAAGTCTTGAAAGGGCTCAGGAAGGGCAAGGAAATTTTTTGAATTATGGTGTCTTAGGGATGGCCAGAAATTGTGTCGCAAGCGTACGATTTTTGGTCGACTCCCCCTGAGTGCGTACCTGAGTGCCTCCCCCTGAGTGCGTACGTACGATCAAACTCTGAAGTTTTCTTGATAATACTTTTCAAGAACAAATCTGCCCATACTTTATTTCTCATATCCTCAAAAAAGTTGTTCCCAACTGTTTCTGTTTCTTCAACAGCTGTTTTCTCTCTTTTTGTAATATTTCTGAGAAAGTTTTCGTTAAGAAATAGACCTTGGGTGCCAAGTTTAGGCAAAGGAAAAAGATACTCCGTCAATTTGTGCTGGCATCAAGTTATTCTGGACTAGGTTTCTCGATCTATTTGCTAAGCCAAGCTGTTACTCGTTATAAAACTTAGACAATAACCGATTTCTTCAATCTAATTCCCATATTCAATTTTATGTATGTCTTCTAAGGTAAATCTTTCTTTAGCTCTGCAGAAAAGTGGGGGGCTATGGCCCCCGCCCCCTCGGTTTCCCTGCCCTGAGGTTGTGAAGTTCGAAACAGTCGTTCTAGACTTCACACAGTAAACTTGGATAAATAATTGTCTCATTTAGAAGAACCTACTGGTTTTGCAACTTGGTGTCTTTAGGTAACATGTTATCTTGAGAATACTTGTTTTTCAAATCATTTTTTACACCAACTAATGCAAACAAACCTTGATCGTGACAACCTTTAGGGTCCCCTTAGGGACCCCAAAGGACTTGGTGCCCTTGGGAGATGCTCTTACCCCAAACTGCGTCAGTTACGCCACTGGGAATGAGGAACGTAGTGGCGTAACGTTACGGCTTCGCCGTTATGGGCTCCGACGTAGGTTGGAAAGTGGGGTGACCAAGGGAGATTTCAACAATCATAACAAAAGATTTTTAAAAAAGCTCTATTGTTTTGCAAAAAACTGGAGGGGCCATGGCAGCCCCAGCCCCCTTCGCTGGAGGCCATGACCGTGATATATGCCCCTTTTCATCAATGTCAGGTCCCCTTTGAAGTTTCTCCCTACCTCACTGATACTGTCCAGTTTGGTATTGTACTGATTCCTTCACTGATACTGCCCAGAAAGTGTCACATGTTCATAGTGCTCAGCGTCAGTCGAAACAAGCAGTTATATAAGCTTGTTTGTCCTTATCATTACACAACAATTTTGTTGCATTTCGTATAAACACGTGCAGAATTTTGGGGGAATCTTCGTATGAACTTTGGCTTCAGAAGATATCCTTTTGCAATTAGGACTTTGAACCATCTTATCGTGTTGTAATGTTACTTTTCTTTGGATTCTATGGCCGTTTTCCAACCAAACTCAAAGTGCAAAGATCTAGAGATTTAAACACATTTTTCAAAAAACCGTCCATAAGAAACCGACAATAGTTGCTGGCCGATTACAAGTCATTTCATTTGTCATTTCTCTACTATGCAAAGCAATTTGCTCTTGCAACAGTTGCCCTTGTCAACATTTGGTAAATTGTAGCCCTCCTTTACTGATATCAGTTTTCGTCGCCATATTTTAGAGATAAACCACGCAAAATAGAATTTTCCACTTTTCTAAAGCCTATTAGCTTATTTTACCTCAGTTTCAAATTATATCCCCTCCAGGTCCCAAAGAATTCTGTCACCTTTTCTACCCCTGTGAGAATTGACATCAATTTTCAACACTCCATACACAGCAATAACCCCTTGCTTTTAAAGTTTCGAAACTGGGATTTGGAATTTGGTCTGGAATTTGGAACTAGGTTTTTAGATTACACATTTTGCGTTTCATTTTTATTTTCTTTTTTCAGAAATCTTCCTATTTTAATTCTTGCTGATTTGCGTTACAGTTTAGCAACTTTTTATTCTTGATACAGCCCCATGGGCTTCGTGTAAAAGTTTTTTTGCAGAAATTCAAAAATCACAACGTTTTACCGAACTGAATTTGAAAATGTGAAGGACTCTCTAAAAGGGTTCAAGACAATGTTTTTGTTAACCACTCAAAAAGCCCCCTTTCATCCTGCTCGCGGCAAAGACGCTTTTTATCTTAGCCTTTATCTTGGCGTCAGAGTGAACCTCTATTCATTTCCTTTTTTATGCTTTCAATAACTGAATGACAATAAAAATAGAAATGAAAAATGATTCCTTTCGCACGTCACGAGCATGAGAATCGTGACAGGACGTAATCTGTAAAACATCAGTGAAAATGGGGATTACCCTTGATCATGTGCCTAAAGAAATATTTATACAACTTTCAAAACGTATAAGATTGACTTCATAAGTTCTAAAGAGCAGTCACAGTCTAGAAGTGCCAGTGTAACAATATCTCACTCTGTCACAGAATTTGGCAGCCATGTTGGCCAAGAGGGTTCTCATTGGTGTGAATTTTCTTATTTTGATTGGCCTCCTTGTTATCAGCTTCTTCTCAACGAAGCCATCACAGCTCTTTCCACGGACGCAGGTTAACGTTTCAAGGCAATATCCGACTGAAATAACACCTAGTGATGCTACATTCGCCATTTGGGGAGTCATCTACGCATTGCAAGCTGCCTGGACTCTCTACTCGCTCACCCTTAATGTTCGAAAAAGTTTTGGGGACATATTGCCACCCAAGTTCTTCAGCTACTTCATCCTATCAAGTGCCTGTAACGCCCTCTGGTTGTTTGCTTGGGCGAGAGAACAGTTTGGATTGTCACTGGCTCTCATTTTTGGCATTGCTTTGACTTTAGTTCTGAGTTTGATCAATGCAGCTGATGGCCTCTATCAGTATCTTAAGAAGATGGAAAGCAAAGGGGGAAAGCCGAACCTTGTTGATGTGTGGTGCACTCGCATTCTAATTCAAAATGGCATCCTCTTCTACGCAACGTGGGTATCAATTGCCACTTGCATCAACCTTACGATATACCTTGAATATAACATTGGTATGGACGGCAGCAAGGCCGCCACAGCATCCCTTGCTATTATTCTTTCTGTCGCAATCCTGTGGTTTATTCTGGAGAACTTTGTGTATCAGGAATACACAAGATACGTCCTTGCAGAGTACATCGTCCTTATTATTGCACTAAGTGGCGTCTTGAAGGCCCACTGGTCCGGCGGGCAGGGAAACCAAGCCTTCGATCTGGCACTTCTTATCGTCTCGGCTCTGCTTCTCATAGCGCGTATTGCTCTGATTGTTGTCCAAGAATTAAACAGAAAAAGAAGGAGGGTATCAGATGTAATGTAACGGCGATGATGGACTTGGAACTATTAAGACATCCAGATTAGGCATAATACTTCACTTAAGAGCTATATGTTTAAATTTGAATAGATTGCCTGTTAGCCAAAATTGCATTCAAGTTATACGTTATCGCTGAAAGCTTGACAAATCACCTACAATATTTATAATTCTCTGCTATAATTTTTTCTTTGGTAGCCCTGTATTATTAGTTTGCTTTAAATGAAATTAGACGAATAAAACGATTTCTAAAAAAATGTACATATTTAAATTTGTTTATTTTTGTAAAAAGTAAAAATTGATCATGATGATCAATTTTAAGTTTTTCAACGTGATTGAGTTTTTTGGTGACTTTCTGTACAAAGCTCACGATAATTCAGTGGATTTGACAATCATTATCACGATAATCATGAATTTGACATAGGTTGTATTCATTAGCTATCCAAGACATTCTTTACAAGCAAAAAAATTGGCTATTAGGGGAAAGAAGGGATTTCGATTTCGCTATCAGAAAATTGGGGATTTGTAACGAGACCCCGGTACACATGATGAAAGATACTGACTGAGGGGTAATTCACTTTGTAAGAAGCGAACGAAATTTCCACAAAACAAATTATCTCTGGAGATTTACTGATAAAAATTCGGATTTCTAGCAAAGTTGTACAAGAACTCCACGGAGTGATTTGCCCCTCGGCCATTATATGGCTAAAGACTGCGAGAAAGGTCAAAGGAAACATGAAATTAAAGTAACCCAGAATTGTTTTCTCTGTTTTCTGAGAAAGATTATTAAGTTTTAGGAAACTGTCCAGAGGATGGTTAGGCACATTTCCAGACTTCGGTTAATGATTCTTATGATCATCAAAATAAAAGACACTATTGGTGCTTGTTGAATAAACGTAGGGTTATCAAAATAACAAAGGGAGCAGTAGCGAAAAAAGTTGCAAAAACAATAGCAAAGGTACTTTTCAGCATGAACAAAAAAGGCCCCCCCCCCCCCCCCCCCTGAGACCTCTATTACACCCCTGGCCTGTTGCATACCATTAGGCTAGGAAGTGATTTTCTGCTGTTTACCTAGGGGCTGTACCCAGAATCGCATGGCATCGTTGGCAATTCATTTTTGAGCGGAGATAAGAACGAATCATTTGCATACTGGACATCAACGTCAAAGGAGGGGAAATGGTGGCTTGGAGAACCGGTGATTTTTGTTACACTGATAATTTCTAATCTTGGCTGTTTCTCCTAAGAAAAATTTACAAGTTATTTAAAGTTCCAAAGTCGATTACAATTATGAAATCAGAAATAATTTCAATTTATAATTTCACCAACTAGAAGGAAATTTTGCAGACAGGATAGACACTCACTGTTAACACCGAATTAAACATGGCTGTTTGTCCCAGTTTTTCAGAACATGAAATATAATTCATTTGCTAACGTGAGTGAATATAAAGTCTAACAAGGTTTTTAAAGCACAAACCATGCTCATTTCAGGGCTTTTTTGAATTAAATCTCTTTTCGTATAAGACCTTGCATTGAAATCTCGCTGTTTCCTAAAATTGCTAGAGAGATACCCCTGCATGACCTGGGCTTTTTGTGCAATCATCCAGTTTTTGGGTTTTTTACTTTGTACGACAAATAGAGATAAGTTTTTTTGAGAAAATAGTTATTTTATTAATTGCATAAAGCTCTACCACTTCCTCCTCCTTCTTGAAGAAAAAAATTCGACGAACATAAAATATTGCTTTTAAAGGACACAGGATTTATCGATTTTTATGGATTCACTAAAACTTCCAATAATTCAATTACTCACTTAGATCTGGACGACTGCCAAGAAGCAAGGAGTGAAAAGTGCAGTTTACTATTTCTGGTCGGAAAATATCGAGAAAGGTATCTTACATACAAACGCAGTATAATGCACGCTTTTATTTTAAGAACAACTCTTATAAGAAACGTCGGACTTAGTCTAAAAATAAGAACAACATAATAATCAGCCTGCTGAAATTCAACAATACTCAAGAGATAAAATTACCAGCAAAATTTGAAAAAAAGAATAGCAACAGAAAAACGATAAGCAAAATATCATTAATTACTTGATCAAGCACTTGTTATGTCCAGACGTTGCTATGCACAGGAAATTCCATTAAAAAGTAAGAAAGGAAATTTTAGAAACTAAGTTGGGCTTAATTAATGCGAAAAAATAAGAAACGCCAGGATCAAACTGGAGACACGTGTTCTTATGAAAACAGCATGTAGGGAAATGGAGGACGCAACCAAAGTGTGACGATTCAGTATTAGGGGCCCTTTACATGAGACCCGAAATGAACTCATGCCGGTGTAATATGCGTTTTGGTACCCTATGCAAAAGTGTAACATTGTGAAACGCAATGTGTTTCAAATCCTGTAATTTCATCATTGTGCGATGTTGTTTGTATTTGTTTCTACCTAGCATCCGAAGGTAGTTTTTTAAGGACACTGAGAAGCTTATACTCATTCGTCACATTCGCTGGTCCTTCTTCTCGACGTGACAACACCTCGTGATTCCTACGCCTGGAAGTACAGAGAGCTGGCGAGTCTCCACACTCTGGTTGAAAGTTTGGTCATGCCAGACTTTGGCCATTTTTGGATTTTTTACTCTTCTATCAAGCATCATCGTGGTTTTCCTGGTGCAATGGTCTGATTACGTAGGGTTTTAAGCATACTGAGAGTGGTCGTGCTGCATGTAAAATTGACAAAACATTAAGTTAACAAATTAACGGTGAAAAATATTTTGTGATTGCCCAATCTCCCTGTAGGCACTAGATGTAGTATCTCTGTGTTTAGCTTATAAGTTGAAATGGATTTATGTTAGATAGTTGCTTCGTATAATAGTTTTGTTTTAACGTTTTTTATGGGTTTTCTTTGCAGATAAACAGCCTGACTACTGGGTGCCATATGATGGCGGGTATGCAAGAAATATTTTGAATGAATTATTTTGTTTACCTTTCATTGACTTTTTACCTTTCTGCAGAGGTTCGCTTCGAGACTCGCTCTTTGACTTTGAATTCTTTGCTTATCATTTTAGAATTAGTTCATCTTACCGAAAATATCATTTTTAACTAAGCCTTGACTTGGGAAGTTTCAGGAAGAACCAAGTACTTCTAGTTCCGGGCTGTTTAGACTTTTCAATGCTTGTTTTTTTTCATTTAATGGCAAAAAAGAGGCAAAGCAGCTAAACATAAAGAAACACATTTCTCTTGCTCTCTCAAGGTCTAAAATTTTTTAGATGTTTTTTTCAGAAAGGCAAACTTTTCAAGCAGAGTCGACCAAGCTTTGAGATGGTTGGACATGGATCCTTCAACGAGGCATGTTTTATACCAGTTTTCTGTTTTTTGGACAAAAGAAAGAACAACCAAACGATTTTCATACAATACAAAACCTTTGCAGTAACTGTTGAAATGATTTCTCACCAGCACCGGTGTAATATTAGAAATTGTCTGTTTTTACCTTGCCCTCTCTTTCATTTGGTGCGTTTGCAACACTGACAAGTGAGTAACACTTCATCTCGGCATTCCACTGCGCTTGTAGGCATTAAAACGCCTTCAAATTGATTGAAAACTTTTGTGATAGTTGTATGCTTCTTATGCCAATAACCTACATGGCATTAATAAGCCTTTAAATTCGATCGCTTGTTGCTTGAAAACTGAAAAGAACGTTTTCTTACCTTCTTCCAGACCGTATTTTATTTCACTGTACGCAGCCTATCCTGATACACCTGGACATAAATTTGGCCCTGACAGCTCGCAGGTAACGTTAGCCCACCACAAGTGTCTTATGTAGATTAAATGCAAAAATTACAAATCTGGCCATAACGAAGAGCTATTTTCTCCTTGGGTATATTCGTATTAAACAAAATAGCAACTACAAGATCGAATGTACTGAGTCACGTGACTAAATTCTCTCCTTCGCAATCATAACTTTTTGCCATGGGTGAGGTGAAGTGGCTAGAGCACTTGACCGAAGTCTTGAAGGTCGCAGGTTGGAACCAATGCTCGATTCCAGCCATGGGGTACCTTTCTATAGATCATATATGGGACTTGCCTTTACCTCTTTGAACATAGATATTACATAGAAAACGTAGAACCCATTATTTTATTACTGATCCCTCAGAACAACGCTGGTATCAAAAGAGTGGATGATATGGTTGGAGAACTTGTCAATGGCATAGAGAAACGTGGCTTAGTAGAGTGCACAAATATCATCATTGTATCAGATCATGGTTTGTACTTTCATCAATACTGCTATCAATAATAGAAGATATCTATCTTTGAGCTAAGCGAGTTTACTTTTACAACATATTGCCTGTTGATCTCGAAAAATGGCTGTGTGAACTTCTAATTAAAGTAGAATTCTATAAAGGAGTCGTTTAAGATTATTTGTGATTTTATATTGCATGGTTTGTTTAAGCCTCTGTAAACCAGAGCCTTTGGAAGTTGGACGATCACTTATTTGAAATTACAGCAGGTGCTTCTCTAGCTCTGAGGAAGCCCTGCATACAGGGGAGAACTCTCAGTTTTTTTTCTCATTTTAATTGTGTTGTGTTGGTTGTTGTCTCTACTCGGTTCGTTTCGGTGTGCCTTATTTTTATCCATCTACTGTATGTTACTTAGAACTTTTTATGGGATGACATTTTCACAATAATAGGCACGTAGAATGCGGCTGCTTGTTACAGTTGCCTCTCCAGATACAACATCGCTTTTGATCACTGACAATCAGTTTATTCTTTCTAACAAGTAATTTGCGCCAAAGATGTTAGTTTTCATTCCAAAAAAGCATAACTATTTTATTTCTGCAGCTGTATTTGTTGTTTTGATCAACTACACAATTCAAAGCAGACATTGATATGAACAGTAACAGTTATCTTACGAACTTAAAATTTACAAATTATTTCTTGCCTTCAGGGCCTAAATAAAAGCCTTGCATTCAATGATGTGTTTCAGTGCATGTAATCGCTTATGAAATAACTCGTATAAGTGTTCAGTTCACGCTGTGTTTCCGTTTAGTCCTTAATGCTCGAGAACTTTTTACGCAAATCTTTGTTGCATTGCTTTTTAATTTTACGCGTTAAATTTCAGGCATGTCAAACATATCTTGTTCAAAATCTGTTTATTTGGATACGGTAACTCTGTTGTTTTTGTTGTTCTTTTTATTTCTGTTGTATTGGTATTTGTCTTGTATAGTTTGTCATTTAGAAAGTTTCAGCAACATTTTGTTGTCGCTAAGTCTTTGTTTTGTTCATGTGACATCTGATTACCCTTGCTATCGTGCTTTCCGTCGATTACAGACCCGTAACTAACTTGTTTAAGCTCTCTTACTACTTCATGTAATTTGAATCTTCGACTTAAGAATCTTGTGTTTCTTTGTAGATGATTCCTGTACATAATATCTCAGTGAATGGCACAGGACCTTTCATGGCTATCTATACCAAAAACAAAGGTTGTTATTGTTCGCATTCATTGTGATGAATCGTTTGATCGACATCATCTTCATAATCATCACCAATCATGATTGTGATCATAGTCATCATAAATGATCAGAAATAATCATCAAATAATCAAATAATTATTATAGATTATGATCGCGATCATAAGATCGTAAATTATCTCCAATCTCCAATCATAATCATTATCAATTGTCACCAATCATAAAACATCTTCAATTATGATCGCGATCATAAGATCGTAAATGATCTCCAATCTCCAATCATAATCATTATCAATTGTCACCAATCATATAACATCCTCATTATTATCATCACAATTATAAATAATATCTATACCGTTTATTTCATAACAAATTACTCTTGTTTTTGTTTAAAGAAGTTTCCTTCTTATAAACTTTCTCGAACATTTCCCTTTAACAGACGATGCAAATGCATTTGTAAAGCGGATGAAGGTACGTGAATCTCTTTTATTGCTTGTACTCATGATATTTCGCAGCCTAATAGACACTTACGATCGTTCCGAAACTTCTCTGCATTTTTGCAAAGGAGTACTAATGATTATTTATTTCAAGAGTAAGCAACACACACAATTTAGACTTGAATTCATTTTCTTTCGTTTAAATTTTTTGTGGCTATAACTGTACGACAGTTATTGTAGATGAATTTTCAGAAAGCCTTTTTTGAAGCTGGACGTGTGTTTGTAAAAAAACTTTTTTTTTCAGTGCAAAAGTAATTTTCAGGCCTTTTCCAAATATGATAAATTCATGCCCAAACGTTGGCATTACTCAAACAACAAGTAAGTGTTTATTATCAATTCTCTTTTCTAGTAGTAATTGTGGATATAACTCGGATATAATTCAATGAAAAGCAAAACTCAAATTCACTGTTAATTTACCTGTACCATCCAATGTGACGAAACACACGAAGTCAGCGAGTTTTGCCATGTAAATCACTAAAAAAGTTTGCTTCTTTGCTTACCAACTACAGAGAGTAAAACAAAAATTGAATCAAGTATACAAAGAAGAAAAAGAATATTTTGCTTTGTAGCAACAGTTTCTCAGCTGCTTATTTTGGCTTGACCATTGTTTATATTCCTTGCATGAGGACACTTAAATATTCAGATAACGTGACATTTTCTAGGCGCATTGGGGATATTATTGTTGTTCCAGATGTTGGCTGGACAGTATACCCAAGGTAATTCATTCCTTTTTCGAATTATCATACTGTAGTAGGAACCCTGTTTGTTTATAATCAGGAGCGTAGCTAGCGGGGGTGTAGGGGTGTGACACCCCAAATACACACAACAAAAATCAGTTGGTCGGTAATTCTTCAGTTGGTCCACAAAATGCTAGTCGGGAAATCGTCGATCGGCAGGTGAAATTTCATCTACATTTTTTTAAATCCATGTATTCCTCGTTAAATTTTATTACTGATGACATTACACCTCCTAGTCTGGAAGGTCAAGCGACGCCACTGTCTATGATAATGCTTATCAAGATATTAAAGGCGGAAGCAATTCTTCAATCCTCAATGTCTGATTATTTCACGAGCAAACTAAAAACGAAACCCTAACGAATTAGATTGCAGCAACAATACCATATTTTTATTTTTTTCATCCGAACAAAAGTTACAGGACGATGCCGCAGGGAGCATGGCAATACATAGCAACCCTGCGACCATAACATTTAATAGAACAACTCAACACTAATTTATACATCTAAATATTAAATATTACATAATACAAATAACAATTACATAAAGTAGCAAAACACACATAAAACACAAGTCAGGAGGTTTTCAACAACAACTTATCGAAATCGCTCTGAGGCACGAATGTATCTCAAGGCTGCGTCGAGCATTTCGTATTGGAATCAAAAGACGATTTTCCGCTACCATACAGAACGATTTCGAGTAAATCTTTATTAGAAAGGTTTACCAATCCATGGGGTCGCAATAGCGCATCCACACTGCTGAAAAGATCACGTCTTTCCGTGTCATAAGCATGGCAGAGCAACAAAAAAATGCTCCGTATCCTCAATACCATCATTTATCGGGCACAAAGGATTTGAAGTGTCACTGGAGTTATGTTTCAATATATGAAAATTCAGTATGCTGAGTCCAACACGAAGCTGTGTTGAAACTGATAATCCTTTTGGATCGTGAATGTTGTTCAGTTCAGTTCAGTTTTCATTTTTTAAATTCCACTACATAAAATTTATCAATAACAAGACAAGCATACATCTCAAATACAAGAAATTAATACGATATACCAATACAAAACATAGACACAAGATAGATTGTATGGAGGGAATTACTTACAGGAGGAGCTCTCTCAGTAGTTAGACTAATCGAGGAGAGACCACTCCCTATTATAAAAGTATCTCATATAAAATTGATTTCTTTAATTGACATTATGATGTTGACAAAACTACTTGATTGGCAGATGGCAGTTGTGGACTAGTTTTGGAGGTGGACGGATGATTGCTAGTAGTATTATCCAGCGTGACGAGATACCATCTGATACGAACTCTAGCTTTAAGTTGATGACAATATGACTCTCTTGAAAGCGTAAGCCTAGATTGTAACCACCTCTATTCATCTGTGATCTGCGATGTCTTTGTATCATCGTAGAGTCCAACTTCTTAAACAAATTTTCAAAGTGATCTCGCGACCGCCTTATAGGGTTGACGATAACTGTTGAGAATCTTCTGTTTTACTCTTGGTAACAATTTATATTGCAGAACTGGTTCTTGTACTAATGAGTCACTCGGCCAACACGGTTATGACAACATTGATCCCTTGATGTCCGTAAGTTTTTATTTACGTTTTCCTAAAACAGAATTAATCTTAAAAAGCTTTTTCATGCAATATGTGTAGCTTCCACGTTGTATTTTTTGCTTGATTGCAAAAGCCTTTGACACAATTCACCTGGTGCTTTTTCAGCATGCTGCCCGTGATATTTCACTTTTTTCAATAAAAGGATCTCACGGGGATAACTCTCGCCACCCAGGGTCAGCGTGCCAGGGTTGATCATATTATCATAACGAGTTTCCCTCGTTTTGAAAGGTTGGTTTTGCCACCAAGCCATTATTATGAGTTGTTTATCCGAATATGTTTCATGAATTTTCCGGGAAAAGTAAGGTGAATGTGGTTTCCTTCTGACCTTCTTTCGAGGTGTTTTATTGAGACACTGTCTCTAGCTAGCTGGCTGTTGGCTCACAGAGGAGCTCCTCCGCACTTTGACGGTCTTGTACCTAATCCTGCTAGATTGCTAGCAACATTCCTCATCAGAGACGCTAAGAGAGAGCCAGTGCTGAGCCACACGACTATTATACAGGTAGTACTGGTTTACATGGCATCAGTAGCAGGTGGAGCCTAGCCTGACTTTAGCCAAACAGAGCGTTGGATGCAGAGACCCAAACCCCTTTCAAAACACTCCCTTAGAAATTGTTTCAAATTTTTCCATTATTTTATTTCTGAATATTACGCCAATGCTCTGTCATTTAGATTTTGTCTATGTGCATAAAACAATTCAAACGTTTCCTGTAATGTGTTTATGGTATTTCAGGCCATTTTTGTCGCAAATGGACCGTCTTTCAAGCAGGGAATTTTGGCTGACGAGTTTTCGAATATAGAAATATATAACCTCATGGCAGGTGAGGCTATGTTTTCTTTTTATTGGAATGAATTTAAGGTTCATTTCAGACACAACTTATTGGCTGTCACTAACAATGTTGGGTTGAGATACGAACTGGCGTTTGTTGAAGAAGTATTTTGTGGTTACTTCATCTAAAAAGATACTAAATGTTGCCTTATACTGGTTTTGTTTTTTGCTATCTTAGAAACCTATCACTGAAGCCTTCTTTTTCATAATAAAATATTACTTGCATACTGAATTTTTTATGGTCGAAGTGAGCGTATCATGCTCATATAGCCATCTAATATTAAAGATTAGAACCGTGGATTCCTTTTGCACAATATCTATACACCAACCAACCCACCTGGGATGATCTCAAAGGGTAGGGGGCATAAAAATGGGTCTTGATTGATAGCGTAATTAATGGGTCAAAAATCAGTATCAAACCCTTCTCAAAAGCTTCTTTATAACGCTTGCTGCATCGCACGTTTGAGATCTTTTTAATTTAATATATCTTGTCTATTTCGGACCTGAAAACTTTCACAATAACAGCAACAAGAAGGGGTCTTTTTAAACCCCAAACTTTGCAGTAAGAACAATCAAGATGGGTCAGCTATTGGCTATTACTTGTCTGGAATACCCTAGAAGTTAATATAAGAGTGTGATAATTTTGATACCTTTTTCACCGGTGACAGCACCTTGCAATTAATATCTTGCCAATGCTACTGATCCTGTCTTTATCAAATTCCATTATGTCTCTGTATTCATTGGCATTCCCTTTCATTATTTGAAACAGAAATTCTTCGGTTGAAGCCCGCAGCAAACAACGGCACATCAGGCAGCTTATCATATTTCCTCAAAAATCCCTTGAAAGCTGTGAAGCAAGCCACTGCCGGTGATGGTAACAATTTTACAATGGACTGCAAATTTCCAAAAAATTACACCGAAGCAAGACTGGGTTGCAGCAAATGCGCTTGCTACTACTGTCATGTAAGTAAAATAATAAAATGTAATGTAAGTTATTTTATGAATTTAAAAGTTTTGCTTCCTGATCATCAATCAAAAGTTTTCTTGCCTTTGGGAAATCAGAGCTACAAGTTTTGTATATCGCCCGGAGAGACAGGCAAGCTTTTTCGCTTGCCATTGTTTGAAAGAGATTGCAAATGAGGTTGGTCACTTTGGGATTATACTGATCCAATCAGAGTCACTTGGTCTGGGAATCATATTGGCCGAGCCGATATAACCTTGGAGAGTCTTTTTGGTCTGGAAAAGTTTAACTTCGATCTACTGTTCTGTTGTATAGTTTCCCCGAGTAAGGAATATTTCACCAAAATCAAAGCTTAGGCTCGAGTTCACATATTACCTTGTGATCAAAATGACATGTTATTTGGGCCTTTCATATTCCCACTTTGTGAGTCTTAGTTGCGCCCTAAACAACACAATCTTTCCCCCTGAATTATAAATATTCTAAATCTAGAAATATATTTTAAATTTTTCCCATTTTGTTTCTTGTTTCCTAGAATACAATATATTGGAATCAAACAGTCTATCGGAAAAACCTGGACCTGTCGAATACCGAAAGTAACTATATTTCATCTCTCTTTGGATGGCTCTCGATGGCTCAAGTCATAAAGCTAATTTTCAGTTTTTTGTGCTACTCCGAGTCCTTGCAATACGTTGCTCACGTTTCGGGTGATTTTAAATCAAAGAACTTTTAAATCAAATAACCCATTGGTTTCTACCAATTATGATTATTTGCCAGAGATTTAGGTGACGTAAAGCCAAAGATTTAATGGTTTAGCAGTTTAGCTGCAATATTTTAGATGCAAGAATTTAAAAGTAATGCTAGGGTGTATCTCGGAGGTACATCAACATATTTGAAGTTGTGGGGACATGCCATTACTTAGGGGTACCTTTTTCCTAAAAAGTGCGTAATTATCGGTATCTTCTTTTGGAAGATGTGCGGAAATACGAGTACCATTTGAAGAAACACGCAGAATTATGGGTACCATTTTTGCAAAATATTGCAAAGCTATTAGGAGGGAGGTTTAGCATTAACAAAATGAATGTCCAGTTAGAAATGAAAGTACGAAATTTGTGTAATGTTGAGATTTCGGGGCAAAGGACATACAAATTTTTTTGGACGATTTTGTTGTGCTTTCAAAATGCTATTTGCAGTGCGGAACTATAGGTATAGTTTTCATCATGTTCGCAAAATTATGGGTCACATTTTTTCAGACATGTGCGGAATTATAGGTCAAATTTTTAACTAAAATGGCGCGTCCCCGTCCAAAATTAGGCTTAGTTACCCCTTCCCCCCGACCGATGAACACATAGAGGTATGAAGCATTCAAAAGTGAAAGAGGTACATGTTGGCAAAAAAGGGTCGAATCGTGAGCTGCAAATGAAACTTTATCTCTGTTTCTGAAAAGTAGGGGAGGTACTTTGCCCAATGCCCCCCCCCCCGTTACTACGCTTACGTAAAAATAAATTAGGATGTTCAGAAAAGGTTGAATGTATTGACATATATAAACCCGGGAATCTTGTCTTGGTTATTAGAAGGCCACTTACGGAATATTTCAAACATCTTATTTGGAATTGTTCATCATTGCGTTATTGTCTTAATCTGTTTCTTGTAGTTCAAAAAGCACTGGAGACGCATTTGCCCCTGGGAATTCCTCAAGGTGGTGCTGGGAAGCAAGGCTGCGTTTTGACCCAGAGACATTATGTCATTGGTTATAGCGGCTATTTGCATGTACCACTTTGGGTTGCTTACAAAATGACCGCAAGGTACATATTACAAAATGTCAACAATATTACAGTGTACTTTTCTAAATTATTTGAATAACGTATCATGTTGTCGAGGGTATCACATTTAACTAGAGTATATGCTTCTTGTAATTAATGTTAATGTTTAAGAATATTTGAAGTAGGCCTTAATATAAAGGAATTCTCTACTTGAAATCTAAACCTGTCAATGACTTTCGAACAAAATGTTTTATAGATATTAAAATGAAATAGATAGTATATAAAAACCTAATTTTTATAAGAAAAACCTAATTTTTGCTGAGCCTCGATAGTCTATAAAAGGTTTGTGATTCAAGGCCTAACATTCTTCTTTGTTTTTAACTTTCTCCCTCCTATAAAAATTGTAGGAAACTAGACCATTATTCTTGATTGGTTCTTATTTTTCACCATTTTTAAGTCTCAATATTTTTTAGAAAATTAATCTTTTAATCTTTGAAGTTCTACTTTTCTGTGCAATTTTGTAACTTGTTATTTTGTAAATAACCTTGACGAAAGCTTCTAGTAGCAAGTTTCTTTTTGCTACCACATTTTCATGCTACTGATAAGGTGTACTGCAAAGTAGAAACTTAATGATTGACATGTCTTCCTCCAGCAATTGTCCATCAATATTAAAAGAATGGACTGTTTCCGAAGAGATCTTCGTCTTACTCGTCAGCAGTCTGCGATGTGCTCCGACTATTCTCGTTCTGGATACGATCGAGGACACATGGCTCCAAGTGGTAATACATTGAATTCATGTATTTTGAAATTTACTCATTGCCTCATTTTTGCGTACCTACTACTGAGATATAATTGTCTAATAGTTAGTTGTTCTCTCTTTGTAACATAATTCAGAAATGTTTCAAAATGCTAAAAGAACATTGCTGTGGTCTACTTTTACAGGCTCAGCTCGTTCACACCCCCTGATTAATACAATTCTTGTTCACAGGTGATTTCAATTTTGACCGTTTCGCAGCACAAGATACCTATGTACTCAGTAACATTGTACCTCAAAGCAGATACTTCAACCGGAGACCTGGTGAGCCATGTTAATTTTGGTCATACTTAAGTTTTGTGGCTATGTCAATTGTATAGTTTACTCACAGGACCATCAATCGATATATAAAACCTTTCAGAAATTAATGTGAGGAGAACAGATACAAAAGAATACACATTTCAAGAAAACTTTTTCGTTACACTTTAATAGAAAAAGAGCAAAAAATTTGAAATAGGCATGATGGAAATCTAAGTTTTCAACACGTCATGGCATGTTTATTCTGCAATTTCATGTATAGATCAATCGGTCTCCTTGATAGCCAATAAAATAAATTTGAAGGAAAGATAGGTTCCTAGAATTTTGTGAATATTACCAATCCATATGAGAAACATATATTCTCCATAAGATGATTCATCTGATATACTCCGAAAGAGTAAATTCAATTATTTTCCTGTAGAGCTAATCCTTTCTCGATTGCTATTTATGCTAAAGTATTTGCTGGAATGTTTCACAGATGTTTCATAATAAGAACTTTTACAGGTCTTTGGTATCAAGCAGAGTCTGTTTTCCGCGACTGGGCGATGAAATATGATTCTGTGTACGTCATTTCTGGGTCAATTTTTGACGCTGACAATGATGGATTTCGAGACAAAGATGAGCAGACTAAAAGGTAATTTTACATATATGGATAACTGCCGAGACTAGGTGCTGATTTTGTAATGACATATTAGACTTGATTCAGATTGCTTCCTATCCAATGTTTCGTATTTATTGCTACCGTATTTCTCAAAGAAAACTTTGGCTCTCATATTGTGCAACTTTTTGAGCTGAGTGGTTCTGTTTATGTGGCTGCTTCCGTCAAATTCGATACACGTGTACCCATCCTAATGACTTTTTGACTTTTTAATATTTAGTGTATAGCCATAACTGTAAGGGTTTGGTATATTTGCTGTAAGTCTTTTTACGCAAAGTTTTTGTATACAGTGCTATCAAAACCACGCTTAAAATGCTAAAGGAACAACTGTCTGCTGATCAAAAAGTACTGTGATGATGCCGATAGCGTTTTATGAAAAAGGATCAGCACAAACATTTACCCAAGATACGCAATAATAATTGTTTATTGATTGTGCAAACCTGATTCATTTCTTACAGTATTGAATTGTTTCGTGTAAATTCAACTGCTATACCCGTGCTACTAATCCTTACCTGTGTGTAGAAGAGTTTTCGAGGTTTTTTGCCATTGGCCGAAGGACAGATGAACCTATTCCAGGCTGTAATAGCAGTTGCATCGTAGTGTTGTTTTTAAAAATAACTGTCTATATTGTGAAGGTGGACACATGACAAGAAAAATGGAGTGGCTATACCAACGCATTTCTACAAGATTATTGTAAGGTGTGACGTAAGCAATACGACAGAATCGGCCACTCCAGGCTGCGGTGGGACTTTGAAGGCTATGTCGTTCGTATTTCCACACAACGAAGAAAAAGGATGCCAGGTAAGTCAAATGCTAGCATGTAATCACAAAGTGATGCTAGCCTCGTTTCGTCATATGCTAGCATTGTTATCAAACCAAGTCTAATCATTTGAGGGTTTTAAAGGCTACAATCACTAGTGGATGTTTTGCAACGCTTATTATTACTGACTTTGCTGCTTCTTAAAAAGAGACATGCAAGTTTAAAAAGTGACATGCAAGTTTAAAAAATGACATGCAAGTTTAAAAAATGACATTCAAGCTTAAAAAGTGACATGCAAGTTTAAAAAGAGACATGCAAGTTTAAAAAGAGACAAAGTTTAAAAAGAGACATGCAAGTTTAAAAAGAGACATGCAAGTTTAAAAAATGACATGCAAGTTTAAAAAGTGACATGCAAGTTTAAAAAATGACATGCAAGTTTAAAAAATGACATGCAAGTTTAAAAAGAGACATGCAAGTTTAAAAAGAGACGTGCAAGTTTAAAAAGAGACGTGCAAGTTTAAAAAGAGACATGCAAGTTTAAAAAGAGACATGCAAGTTAAAAAATGGACATGCAAGTTAAAAAAGAGACATGCAAGTTAAAAAAGAGACATGCAAGTTTAAAAAGAGACATGCAAGTTTAAAAAATGACATGCAAGTTTAAAAAGAGACATGCAAGTTTAAAAAATGACATGCAAGTTTAAAAAGAGACATGCAAGTTTAAAAAATGACATGCAAGTTTAAAAGGGACATGCAAGTTTAAAAAGTGACATGGAAGTTTAAAAAGTGACGTGCAAGTTTCAAAAGAGACATGCAAGTTTAAAAAATGACATGCAAGTTTAAAAAGAGACATGCAAGTTTAAAAAATGACATGCAAGTTTAAAAAGAGACATGCAAGTTTAAAAAGAGACGTGCAAGTTTAAAAAATGACATGCAAGTTTAAAAAGTGACATGCAAGTTTAAAAAGTGACATGCAAGTTTAAAAAGTGACATGCAAGTTTAAAAAATGACATGCAAGTTTAAAAAATGACATGCAAGCTTAAAAAGTGACATGCAAGTTTAAAAAGAGACATGCAAGTTTAAGAAAATGACATGCAAGTTTAAAAAGAGACATGCAAGGTTAAAAAATGACATGCAAGTTTAAAAAGAGACATGCAAGTTTAAAAAATGACATGCAAGTTTAAAAAGAGACATGCAAGTTTAAAAAATGACATGCAAGTTTAAAAAGAGACATGCAAGTTTAAAAAGAGACATGCAAGTTTAAAAAATGACATGCAAGTTTAAAAAGTGACATGCAAGTTTAAAAAGTGACATGCAAGTTTAAAAAGTGACATGCAAGTTTAAAAAATGACATGCAAGTTTAAAAAATGACATGCAAGTTTAAAAAATGACTTGCAAGTTTAAAAAATGATATGCAAGTTTAAAAAGAGACATGCAAGTTTCAAAAAAGACATGCAAGTTTAAAAAATGACATGCAAGTTTAAAAATTGACATGCAAGTTTAAAAAATGACATGCAAGTTTAAAAAATGACATGCAAGTTTAGAAAATGACATGCAAGTTTAAAAAATGACATGCAAGTTTAAAAAATGACTTGCAAGTTTAAAAAGTGACATGCAAATTTAAAAAGTGACATGCAAGTTTAAAAAGTGACATGCAAGTTTATAAAGTGACATGCAAGTTTAAAAAATGACATGCAAGTTTAAAAAGAGACATGCAAATTTAAAAAGTGACATGCAAGTTTAGAAAGTGACATGCAAGTTTAGAAAGAGACATGCAAGTTTAAAAAATGACTTGCAAGTTTAAAAAATGACATGCAAGTTTAAAAAGAGACATGGAAGTTTAAAAAGTGACATGCAAGTTTAAAAAGAGACATGCAAGTTTAAAAAATGACATGCAAGTTTAAAAAGAGACATGGAAGTTTAAAAAGTGACATGCAAGTTTAAAAAGACATGATGTGCAAGTTTAAAAAATGACGTGCAAGTTTAAAAAGTGACATGCAAGTTTGAAAAAATGACTTGCAAGTTTAAAAAATGACATGCAAGTTTAAAAAGTGACATGCAAGTTTAAGAAAGTGACATGCAAGTTTAAAAAAGTTGACATGCAAGTTTAAAAAGAGACATGCAAGTTTAAAAAATGACATGCAAGTTAAAAAGAGACATGCAAGTTTAAAAAGAGACATGGAAGTTTAAAAAGTGACATGGAAGTTTAAAAATGACGTGCAAGTTTAAAAAATGACGTGCAAGTTTAAAAAGTGACATGCAAGTTTAAAAAATGACATGCAAGTTTAAAAAATGACTTGCAAGTTTAAAAAATGACATGCAAGTTTAAAAAGTGACATGCAAGTTTAAAAAATGACATGCAAGTTTAAAAAGAGACATGCAAGTTTAAAAAGTGACATGGAAGTTTAAAAAGTGACGTGCAAGTTTAAAAAATGACAAAGTTTAAAAAGACATGCAAGTTTAAAAAATGACATGCAAGTTTAAAAAGAGACATGCAAGTTTAAAAAATGACATGCAAGTTTAAAAAGAGACATGCAAGTTTAAAAAGAGACGTGCAAGTTTAAAAAATGACATGCAAGTTTAAAAAGTGACATGCAAGTTTAAAAAGTGACATGCAAGTTTAAAAAGTGACATGCAAGTTTAAAAAATGACATGCAAGTTTAAAAAATGACATTCAAGCTTAAAAAGTGACATGCAAGTTTAAAAAGAGACATGCAAGTTTAAAAAATGACATGCAAGTTTAAAAAGAGACATGCAAGTTTAAAAAGAGACGTGCAAGTTTAAAAAGAGACGTGCAAGTTTAAAAAGAGACATGCAAGTTTAAAAA